ATTGTCCTATCTGTGGCCTCAGAGATAAGGCAGCCTCAGGCTGGCTTAAAACCAACTGTAGTTTCTCATCTCTGCTCCTTTTATCCTCTTTTATCCTTTCAGCCAAGATCTGATGTGTCCTTCATAGGCCTGTGTTCCTCAGGCATCCCTTCCAATCCTTAAGTATCAATCTAGGATAAGTGTGATAATGTACAATTCAAATCTTTGCTGAAATTAATGATTATTTTTTACATCAATTAAAAATTGATCGCTGGCCTCAGAGGTACTTAGTTGTATTTTTACTTACTTCCTGACCCTGTCATTTCCTCACTAGGAAATGCGTTTATCCTTTTAAAATCACCATTGCAATAGCCTGTTCCCACAGGATGGTTTGTTCCTTTTGTAGGGCGTTGGATCAGCCCTGTTGTTGTGAGAAAAGCACTCCCAACTGAGGGGAGGTCTCTTCTTTGAGCTTGGATAGTGGTGGAAGGGAGTACTGTTTTCCATGGAATACAGCCTGACTATTTCTATGATGCTTCAGTGATCACTTCTGGCTAATTATCTTACTTGGCCTTGAGTATCTTAATATTGTCTTTATCAGCACCGCTTCATTTTCCCAAGTATCCTGACTCATCCTTTCCAGCTGGAAAACTGGGTGGATAGTGTCTTTTATGGCTTCGATGTATGCACTCTCAAATTTTATTGAAAGCACTTAATATACATGTGACACATTGTAGAAAACTAAACACTGTGCTAATTTTCGTGGTATGTTAGTAAATGAAATAGTCTGTTTATTGTTCTTTGAGGTGTGTAGAAAATAAAACTTTATTTCAGGGCTGACTTGCATATATATGGAGAGGAGTAGGTATCAGTAGAGAGTACTAGTCCAGCTGTATTGTGTAATAATGCACACAAATCACTGCATCATCTTCATTAAATTTCTGATCCCTAGGGATAGCCCAAAGCAGCTAGTTAGCTCTGTTCCTCTAACACTACAAAGCAAGATGCTTGGATCAGATCCTTAGTGTTGTGATTATGGAAATTGGCAGCAAAGTCAGCTCAAGGAGTTACCACTCCTGGTCACCTCCCTAAGCCCTTACCAGTGTGTTACTGCTCGGTTTGAGGCTACAAATGCAGCCAGAGCTCTTGTTTGTGGTGTTTCTGTGACCCATATCACTGAACTGAACTGACCCAGGGGTCAGGGCAGGGCTAGCAGTGCGGACCATGCCTTGTAACCCCAGCCTGATGCTCCAGAGCCAGCTGAGATAAAATTGTTGGTGTTATCCCAGATGATATATACATCCTATAGAAACTGTGCATTTAACATCAAAATACTGTTTTGGACGTGTTGAGATATGGTAACATTGATTTAATTTCTTAGATTATGGAGCAGATTAGACTGTAAAAGACTGGGATGCTGACTTAGCTGTCAGCTGGTTTTCTGCTGCTGACATGAGGCACAGTGCTCCTTTCAGCACAGACAATAAATGGTCGTCTATGTAAATAATAGTGAGTTCTCTTTTTAACCTCTAGCGTGTTGGCAGGCTTTTGTTCTAGAAAGAAATGCTTGTGAAGTGTGTCTCATTCTTTTCCACATTCAAATGCACGCTTTTAGGTTTTTGTGGATAATACCTATAGAAATCTTACCAGTCAGAATTTTCAGTGTTTTAACTGGGGCAACCTGATATGTGTAGAGCTTGATATTTAAAAATATCAGAATAAGAAATGAGAATTTGATGATTCTTGAAGAATTAACAAGGAAAGCATGGAGTTCATTTAAAACTACACTGAATAGTCATAAAAATAGCAGGACTGATGGGAAAATGCCATGGCCAAACCTTGAGCAAGGCTGTGATGTTTCAGCTCATTTGCAAGCTCACCAACAGCAGAGCATTTCAGAAGGCCTTTGGCCCTTTTTGTTAAAGAAAATTTGGTTCTTTGCTCCGTTGAATTAATCTAAACTCCATATGCATGACAGCCTTAGCAGTCCTGATTTTGTTGCACCTCTTTGCTGCCCAGGTGAGGTGCCATCCACCTGCTCTGCACCCAGCCATGGACTCCACTTCTTGCCTGTGCTGGACATCACCAGTCGCTGTGCTCCAGCGGCTCAAAATGAACTGCAGCCTCGTGCTCCTGCCTGCAGTGCACCTCCAGCCCCAGTGCTGACACAGTGACCAGACAGCATTTCATTCTCTGCTGTGAAAGTCATTCATTACTTTACAGGACCATCCGTGGAATTACACAGCTGTCAATTCAGTATGACAGCAGACCCTGGCACAGTGTTAATTTCTTAAGGTAGTGTATTTCAGCATTAATACTTTGTATCCATCAGTGCTTTTGCATTAGTTAGCTCTAGCATTTATTTAATGTGGAGTTCACATCTGTCATTTGTGAAGGGGAAAAAAGCATATTTGATTTCCTGAAATGCAAACTGCAGGAGCAGTTTAGGGAAAATAACTTCATGCTATTGACTGCTGTGGGCTTTACCTGTCCGTGAGCTCTGCACTCAGCAGCACCTGCCCAGTGGTTTTGCATAGACCCGACTGGAAAGCCAAGACTTCTTGGATTGGCAGACAGGTGATGTCTACAGTATGTTACAGGCTGAGACAGAGTGCCTCCTTTGGCATGGTCTGCTTCAGTGGTAGGAAAAGATGGTGTTCCTCAGCCTCCAGCGCGTGCCCCATGCTTCAGCCAGCACTACAACTCTGCTCTGAGAACACAGCCAGTCCACGGGCATTTCTATTCTCACAGCAGCTCTTAGTTTTTCATTTCACAAAGAGGACTCTTCAAAAAGTAAACCCGTGGCATTTTTCACAGGTTTGCTACTTTTCACAAACTGCTGCTCATTGCACAAGGGGCTCGGAGATAAAGCCTTTCTCCCACTCAAATCCTCTTGCTCAGATGGGCAAACGCACCCAGTGACTTAAAGAGAAAGGATGGGTTGTAGCAAAGCTTCAGCTCTCTCATACGACATTTGTTCAGCCATCCCGGCTTTCACAAACCATGTTGTTGTTTTGTAAACCATGTCCCTACATCTCTTTGTTGTCTTTTGTCATGCTTTGAAAAAAATAAACTCTTTCCCCTTTCAGCCAGAAAAAAAATCTTTTATTAATAACATTTATCAACAAAAAAACATTTTTATTTTGCCTTTTAGATCTAGGTGACTGCTCTGCAGCCTCGATTAGGAGCTACCCAAGCAGGCACTGACACCCTGAATGCGTTGGCCCTCTCACAACTGCCCCACTCCTCAGTGAGATGCTGATGTGCGTGCCCCTCCTGCTCCAATCCACAGAAACAGCCCTTTGAGATCTTTTCTCCTTGGAAAATCCCTGAAGCTGACCTTGTGTCCAGGAGCCCTGCACTATTTCCTCCTCATTATCTAACTAGGTCAATGCAGTAAGATTGGCCGAAAGTGGAGGTCAGTCCTAGAAGAACCAGTACATAAAGGACTTCTCTTCCTGTTACTCTACACAAGGCAACAACGTAACACAACACAGGTTTTGTTTCCTTCCTCCTGACCTACACATCCAATAGACAGTGATGGGGAACCTGGTCACTGTCTTTCAGGAGAAAATAAATGACAGCTTTGAAAGCCTCAACCAAAGTGTCTCAGCAGATATATTTCTAACAACTGCCTGCCTGTGTGGAATGAGTTAAGGGACTGCAGCCCCTCAGCAGTCCTCCTGTTGTCAGTGGGAGTCCCGCCACTTATCACTGGAGCCCAATTTCACTGTATGCAAAATGGGTTGAAAAGAACAGAAAAACTCTACAGGATAGTAATTAATGGTCGTTTAGAACAGCCAAATAAGTGCTTCTCATCTCTGTGTCACCGGTGTCACCACTGTGTCAGGTCAGTTATAACTGACCTGATTGTAAAAAAAACCAACATCTCAGTAATCCTCTGAATAAGTTTCCCCTGCACATGCAAATAAAAATCAGTTACAGGCTGCTGCAATAGTAACAAACATCAGCAAATGCCAAAGGCTGCAATCTTAGCACATTCGTTTTGGAAACCTCTTACATAACTTGCATAATTTAAATATTTACAAAATATAAACTTTCTCATCTTATCAAAAATAGGTCTTTGCACATTTAAACAACAGAAATCCTTTCCCGTGATGCTTTTTTAAACCAGGAATTGTACCACTGCATAAAAATAAACAACCTTTTTCAGATGTAAAATAGAATTAAACTAACACGTGGAGGGGAGAAAACATTATTGATAACAGTTGAAATATTTTAGTGGTGTGAGCCAATCCTTCAGTGATATTGTGCACTGAAGTGACTTGGGATACTAATGAAAAGTTCTATTTGTAGCTCCTGTAAGAGAATGTGATTGAAGTATTAAAATTCTCTCATTTTATGACAGATTTATTTGAGCTGAGTCTCACATGGCTGTGAAAATGCTGGTGAGCCCCAGCAGGATGGCTGAAAACGGCAGGTTGACACACAGTCCAACACTGGGGCGATGACGGGTTGATTGCAAATTGTGCTCTTGGGTGCTGAGGAGATACCAGTGAGGGACTGCACTTCCCTCAAATACCAAGCTGTATTTCTGTCCCTCCTCAGACCTGGCCTTTGTGCATTTGAAAGACAACTTGTACAAGACCCTGAGGTTGCTGTTTGGCATGCCACGATCACCACATTCACTGAACTGTGCTCCAACCCACCCCAGCTGTGGGCATAGTTTGCTCCAGGCCAATGGGCCGTCCTCTCCTATCCCACCTCTCCATAGGCACACACGTTTCTGGGTACCAGGAGCTCTTCTGCACATCACACAGAGAGCTTTTCAAAAGGTCACAAAGGAAACACTTCAGGATGAGCAGAACATACAGCACTCCTGTATTTTTTTTTTTGTAAGACTGGTAGAAATGAATCATACAGCAGATCCATCTGATGTGTCTTACAAGCCTCCTAGCCCTTCATCCTCTGGCTGATAAGATCTTGGGTTCTCTGCACTGTACCCACTGATCACATTGATCTTCAAGATGTTGTGGCTATTCAAGTGCCAAAGACTCTAAAATGTGCCACTGGGAGTCTGTTGCTGTGGCTGTCCCTGTGTGCAGGCTGCTCTCCACTCGTGACTTTCAAACACCAACTGTTTGGAGTATGCCCTGTTTGGCGATGCCCTGGAGGTGAATCCCCCATAGTCCCTGTTCCAGTAACTGCTGTCTGCATGGCGCACAGCCCGCTGTGGGGCGGTTTGGCTGTTTCTGTGCTGAGCCCTACTTGCAGGTGTGTACGTCAGTCATGGTCTCGCACCGCCGGCAGCGCACGTAGCAGCACCAGATAAACTTGCACTCACACCTCTCCACGTGCCTGACCACGTGCGTGTTGTACCCGCGCCCGCAGCACAGCAGGTTGCAGCCATCGGGTCCATCCGACGTGCGATTGCATTCCCTGCCCTGAGTCCCAGGGATGCCCAGTTTCTGATCTTCGACGCAGTAATTGGGCGATTTGTTCACGTACAGCAGGTCTTCTTTCTGGATTGGTATTTTTCTCTGGCTCTTCTCTTTCCTGCGTAACTTTCTTTTCAGCTTGTCTGATATCTGTATGCTGTTTTCATACTTATCCTTTAAAAACCGGCCAATCTTTTCAAAGGAGGACATGGTTTTCCAGCAAGTTTTCACAGCGCATGACCCAGAAACACCGTGACAACGGCAGTCCACTGACATCAGCTTTGCTACAGCCTGAAAGCAAAGGGAGAAGACATTTGGATGTAGTCTTTCATTCATTGGGAATTCTCTAAGTATTTAATACTGCTACCGCCAGCCAGACCACAGGAAGGTGCATTTTATGAACCATGTTTCTACCTCCAGACTTCCAGCAACCCAGTGGCAGAATGATTGAGGTTGGCAGGGAGACCTGCCACAACCTCTGCTCCAGCAGGGATGCCCAGAGCAGCGTGCCCAGGTTCACATCCAAGTGGCCATTGAAGATCTGTGAAGAGGAAACTGCACAGCCTCTGGGCAGCCCATGCTGGTGCTCAAAAGATCTCCAGAAATGGCCTATATATGAACCTTGCAATGGCAGTAACTAAGTAGTATCAAAATGCCAATATTAGAACTTTGTATTTCTCAGCAGCTTTTCTTTCTGAAGAGCAAATGGTCCTTGTGGGGAACAGCAGGAGGGGAAGCAGCAAAAGAATAGCTACCAGCACCATTCCTGAGATGCAGAGAGACCTTCAGCTCAATCTTCTGTAGTAAATCTGAGGTGTTTCTTACAGTGATAAACCCTGATCTTGAAATGTAGGCATACACATACTACAATGGATTTCCACTGTTTCCAGTGCCCTTAAATGTGCACACGTCTATGCTCAGATGGATGCAAGCAGTGGGCTGCACAACAGCTATCCAACCAACAGTGGAAATCTGCAGCCTGTGTTTAGCTTTTGCAATATGCAAGAATTTTGGCACATTTTATATGAAAGCAAGACTCCAAGAACTTGAAACTGTAAACAACCAATAACTTCCTTTATCTGGGACTGTAATTCAGACAACCAGCAGACAACAATTAGCAGACAACCAGCATAGTACTTCCTTCTAGAACAGCTAATAGTCATGGTATAAAATTACACAGTTAGTCTTGTGACACATTACAGTTAGGATAAAAATAAGGAAAAAAGTAATCAAATACAAGATATAGCAGAAGGATAAGGTATTATAATTTGTGCTTCATTTTACCTTTTCATTTTTTTGTATTCCTTGTAGCCATCTGTGGGCTCACACGGGTTGGTGGTTAATAGCATGTAAAGCCATGCTACACTATTCCTTTTTATTGACCTTCTGTCTCACAATTCTTTTCCAGAATAAAGGTAGTTAGAAAACGTAATGGAAAGAGAGAATTTTAGTTTTTCTTAAAACTTCTCATACAGCAAAGCCAATACAGATTCAAAATATTTTTCTATGGAGGAAACATTAAAGAGGAGGAAAGATAAAAAAAATCTATATCTTCATGCTGTTTATTAAAGCTCATCTGAAATCTTCATCTCCTTCACAGCACCCATAGATAGAAACCACTGACAATCTATGTTTTCCTCAAAATATCTTAGAAAGAAAAAAGAGAAAACAAACCCATCTAACACCCTTAGTTTTCCTAGGGGAAATAAGTTTAATTTGTGCCTGTTCTCAAGTCCAGATCCCGTGATGAGAGCAAAGGCTGGGAGCCTTGATACTGATACATAAATATTACAGAATCACAGAATCACAGAATTGTAGGGGTTGGAAGGGACCTCCAGGGATCATCGAGTCCAACCCCCCTGCCAAAGCAGGTTCCCTACAGCAGGTCACACAGGTTGGCATCCAGGCAGGTCTTGAACATCTCCAGAGAAGGAGACTCCACCACCTCCCTGGGCAGCCTGTTCCAGTGCTCCGTCATCTCACTGTAAAGAAGTTCTTGCGCATGTTTGTGCGGAACTTCGTATGCTGCAGATATTACATTAATGCAAATATTACAGGCAATTTACAAACAGAAGGGATTTAACAGTATTTTCCAATTTCAAATGATCATTTATTTGCACCACAGTAAGTAACTGAAGTGCTGAAGTAGTTTGAAACCACAGTGTGCTGTAAGCCTTGTAGTTACGGATGCAATGTTAGTCTTCACTGCAGCATGACAAGGTGCTAACTAGTGAAGAAACAACGGAAGGAAAACATAGGGTTTGGTTTGAAGAAAAAAAATATACTTCCAAGTCTGCTATGACAAGACACAGTAAAACCTGGATGAGGGAGAATGATTCAGATGTTGACTGGGGAAGACCTGAACACGTCTGCTGGGTGTTAATGGAGAGTGAGTTCCATGTGGGCAGCTAGCCCAGCAGTGACACTCAAGAGTCTTTTTCTGAGGATAAATTAATGAAAACAGGAGTGGAAAATGATTCTAAACAGGAGTGGAAAATGATACTGGAGTCTCAGGTTAATGTCAAAGTATGAAAAAACAGCATACATTAGCTGTATATGAAACATCAGATCAATGTGAATGCTACCAATATACATCTGTGTGGAGTCATTGAGAATATACACTGCAATCACAAACATTTGTGTTCTTGTTCAGCATGGCTTTGGCTTCTTCCATAAAGTTCTGATGCAATCTGCTTTCAAATGATCTATGGTGTCATCACAGTTGTGCTTGACCCCAGGTTACTGCTTCCCAGCTGCTAGAATGGGCAGGTTTTCTGGTTGGACGCCAACACATTTTGGGCCAACTCTGCTGACAGCACTGGGAGCTGACATCTTGCTTTGTCTGATTACAAAACACAAGCCTGGACCTCAGGCTGTCATGTGAACTCCATTAACAAACTCCAAAAGTTGAACATCTGGCAAAATTTAGAGACTGGGAATCTTCTTTTGCTTTTTTTCTTGGAAACAAATCTAATCCAGTGCCTACAGAGCTGACACAGCTTTCTGTGGGGACGTGGCTACAACACAGTGTAGTGCCCAAAGAAGCATAATTTCCAGCTTCACTCCCCAGTCGATGCTTAGTGTCCCATCTCTAGGTTCACATGGAGAATATTTTCAGTTACTCATGAAATACTGGGACAGAAGTCTCCCTAAATAGCAAAACTTCATACAGATGTTAGGATGCACACTGCTGATCACACAAACACAGTGGACACGTGTCCACCAGTACAGGCTGGGACAGTTTTTTGGTTTCCTTAGGTTGGTCACAAAACCAAGAAGGCTGTTTGCTTGTGAGAAATGACCAGCGTTGAACCAAGAGAGGTCTATGATGGTCATATTCAACCACAAGCCCACACGCTTGCCTTTTGCTGACCCTAAGTTGTGTTGGTGCTGGCAGAAGTGTTAAACTGGACACAGTGATCAACACTGATCTGTGTTAAAAAATAACCTAAAATAAGGCTATTTTTAGGTGACTTCGTTTCACTGATCTGATGTAATTAAGAGAGGGAGTGACATGGGGAAGGAAAGTGTAGCTGTAACAGGCAGATGAGCAGAAAGCAGAGATTTGGCTGCAGCTGAGTATCAGTGGAATTGTACGTAGTCTGTGTACCCCTTACTGCCAATCACTGCTGAATAACTCCAGGTCAAGCCCTCTGTTTGCAGTCCCTATTCTCAGCTGTGAGGCTGGGACTGTGACCACCTGCTCTGTGGTGAAAACCAGCAACTGCAATCAAATATCTTAATTTAAGGCACAAACAGATGAGAAGTACTCATGAAGATGAGCACATATTCTAACGGAGGTACAACACTCAAGAGCAGTTGCAGATTGCTATCAATCCTCAAGTACCAATAAAAATTAACCCTCTGAGGAGCTAACCTACTTGCATGTGAGAAGATGAGTCCTCCAGGTCAACACACTTCACTGGTGTGTAATTGAACAGGAATTCTTCCATCAGTGGAAAAATATTACTACAGTAGTACCTATCGTTTTTATAAGGCAGCTCACATATGCATATCTAAGTACACTGGACATTACAATGCCAAAAGATGAAGAATAATTATCTTATAACAGAATAAGGAATGAAATATGGACTTTTTGAAGTTCAGGTTAGTACTATAAACAAAGCACAACTCAGTCAAATTATCATTATTCTTTCAGAATTGATATACCTTGGACTTAACTATGAAATGTGGAGATATAAAATGGGAATGGGAAAGGAACAAGAGAATTCCCAGCATACCATTTCCATGAGTTACTCCAAACAAACAGTATTGTCCCTGGAAGATTGCTCTTGCAAGACACACAACCAGGAACATGATAGTATTTATTACAAAAGGTCATAAGGTACCAAAATGTATTGCAAAACATCCTTCCTGTAAGCCCCAAAACATGAAGGTCAACGTTTTCCAACATCTAGTCAAGGATTTTGAAATTAGAAAAATGAAGAGTTCTGCTAAACTTCACTTCAGTTAATATCACTATTAAAAATCCCAAGGACCAACAATAAATGTTCTCTTTCATCCTGGACGATGGTCAAAATATTTACTTCAGCCTACAGCTTGCTATTAAGTTACAAAATATTTATGCACGGAAGCTAACTGAATACTCTGCATATTTTCATCCAAGATAACGAACAGTAAATAGACCATTGCTAGAAAACCATCAAAGCTAAGGATCTTCAGGCTTGCAGTGGATGATGGGTTTTTCTTTTAAGTGAAATTAGCTTGAAAAAAATGATCACATGCATCATATGCACCACATTTTACGAGAAGTCTGAAACCCTACTATGTCCTCAGGACCTGAAGGACACTGATGGGTCACTGTAGATGAGCTGATCCAACTTAAAAGACATTAGCTTCAAAAGAGAAGCTTCTTTTCTAGTTTAGGGAGATGGCAGCGTTCTCCCTTTAAAGCTAACATGACCCCAAACAGCAGGGCTGGCCCACCTGCAGTAAGCAGCTGTAACCCAGTGTGGGCATGAGTGAGCTCTGAGTATAAGGGTGGTGCAGGAAGAATAAATGCTGTCACTGAAGGCAAGAGGACAGCAAATCGCTGCTGCTGCTGAGCTAAGTAAGAATAGAAGAGAGAATGGGGCTTCAAGGAAACAATCTGTGTTACTGCCATCTAAACTCAGAAAAAACATCTCTTTTCTTCCAGAGTTCATCAGGTGTCTTGCACTTTGTTTCCAACATCTCCACTGTCACACTGATCTAAGAAAATGCCACTCTTTCACAGTCTTGTTTTACTGATTTCCATGAATTCAGTTCTTTTCCTAATTCTCTGCAATGGGAGACACAACAGAAGTCTCAGTGTATGTGAAATGCAGGTTGGCAGGAGTGGACCAAAATGTCACTGTGGATTGTTGTTCTCTTTCTAATGACAAATATGACCATTAAAATAAAAATCTATATCTGTATTACATGCTAAATAATGTGAGAGATAAAGAGATTTAAAGAGAGATTATTTTCTGGAGATTATTACCTCCTCTCTTAATTATTTCTCTCTACAAATGTGACTAATAACTTTTTGCTCTTTCTCTAATGAATAACCACTTAATCTCCTCCCCTTTTGTTAATATCCCCCACTACACAACACCAACCACCATTCCTTGGAGACGATTTAGCTGCCCGGCATCTAATTGAACTTAAAGTAACTGTTCTCAGCATCTTCTTTGTTTTCAAGTTTATTTCATAGAATTGGAGAATAGTTTGAGTTGGAAGGGCCTTAAAGCCCACCCAGTCCAACCACGTGCCACAGGCAGGGCTGCCACCCACCAGCTCAGGCTGCCCAGGATCTCATTCAACCTGGCCTTCAGTGCCTCCAGGGATGGGGCAGCCACAGCTTCTCTGGGCAGACTGTGCCAGGGCCTCACCACCCTCTGAGTAAAGAATTTCCTCCTAACATGTAATCTAAATTGCCTCTCCTTTACTTTAAAGCCATTCCCCTTTCTCCCATCACTACACTCCTTGATATTGAGTATCTCCCCATCTTTCCTGTAGGCTCCCTTCAGGTGCTGGAAAGCTGCTACAAGGTCTCTCCAAAGTGTTCTCTTTTCCATGCTGAACAACTCCAAATCTCTTAGTCTGTTTTGATAGGAGGTCTTCAGACCTAAAAAGGGTGTATGTCTCTCAAAGATTTGCTATTTTTCCTACAATATAATTTAATTAAATAAAATATATTACCTCATAACATATAAAAGTAAGTTTACTTTAAAACAGCTTGCAGTGGTACCACCGTGGTTCTTTTTTGAGATGTTAGCTTACTGTGGCTATTCCCAAACCATGTCTGATAGGAAACGTTATTTTCTATAAAACCCAGCCATGCTTTTTCTGAAATTTCAGAGTTACAATGTTGGCCAGCAAGTGTGAACAATATGTTGTCCAAAACCAGAGAGTTACCATTCCTTTTCTTCAGTTACAGCAGTGCCACTGAGCAGAATAGATTTAAAGAATTATGGGGCCAGAGAGAGCCATCAAACGCTTATGAAGTCAACAACTCCCATGTAAAGCAGGGAAACTAATTTTAGAGCAAGAACCAGAATGCTCTGTCACTGCAGATGTAAACCTCAGACACCTGATTTTGGACTCACATCTGGCTATTTCTGCCTCATTTATTGGGGTTCTCTGCAGACCAGCACAGAGGAACCAGTGTTCCACACTCATACACTGTATGAGGGCAGGAACACTTTGTTACCAGGGCTTTGAATTCTCTTGGGAGAAGATCTATTTGAAGCCAACCTTCTCTCTTTGCTTTGGTTAGTGCCCTAGCCAGTGGGCTGCTTTACAGTAGGACTGTCATTTCCAACCCATCTTTCAAAAGAAAAGGATAAATCTCCTTTTCCTCATTGATCCTAGATTATTGCCCACAGATAAGGATGCCAGACTGTGGATCCCAAATGAGTGATGGTCTCCAGTGAGTCTGTTCATTCATCATTAGAAAGAATTAAAAACCCAAGCAGTAACAGAATATTACAGAAAATAAGGGAAAAAAATCTTCAAGTAGTATTCTGATAATGAGACTAGTTAAACTTTGCTATGCAATAGAGTATCAATTACCTATTTGTGAGCACTTTGATCAGCACTCCAGAACCAACGTGTATTTTGTGAATTTTATTTGAACCCATGACATTTACTTAGCTAAGCACAACTTGATTCTGGGTTTGTAAGTGTTGACTTTGGAGGTGTCAGCCCAGTTCTTGCCACTTGTACCTGCAGTCAAGGACCAGCCTCACTTGACTGATGCCATTTGCGAACAGAACAAAGCTAACCATGGCTTCCCTGCTCAGCAGCAACACGTACCTGCCTCCCAGCCTCGTTGTTGTGCAGGTTCATCGCCAGCAGCCCGTTGCCACTTTTTCCTGACGCATTCCTGATGGGCGCATCCAGGAAGCTCCTGCTGAAGGACATCCCATAGTGGATGTCGTCGGAGCAGCCGCCCCAGTGCCAGCCCTCGCTGGCCGAGCCCCCGCCCTGCAGCTTGGTGTCACAGGAGCACTCAGTCACGTTTCCTGCGCTGCAGGAGCGGGTCACAGCATGCACCAGCCCTGCTGCCGTCACTGCATACACAAACGCGGACTCCTTCGTGCCTGCAAGGCAACGCAGGGCTGTTAGCTCATGGCTCCCAAGCTCTGCATGCTGGCGGAGCTGAGGGAACCGATTTTACAAGCCAGAGCATTATTAAAAGCGAACAGTTCTGAAGTTAAAGTTGTCACACCTTGGTCTCCAGAGTTAACTTGTTTAAAGAAGCCGTCAATATTCACATCCAGAAAAAGACTTCAGTGCCTATTCGTGTGGCTATGCTATTAATTCTGCTGTTTCTGGCTGCTGGATTCTTGGTAACTGCTTTCTAAATCTGGTTGGGAACTTTATTGGTCAATGAAACTTTTGAGCCAATTAAGCTTTAATCAAAATAAAGCACAACAAAAAATCCTCACCCAGCTTAACCACCCTGACTCTTCGCCCACTCTGATTTTCACTATTTGTATCAATTGGATGAAGAAGTCAGTTCAGATCTTGGAGGATGAACTTCAAGATGTCAAGATCCCGGGGTAATTTGGTACAAAGCCGAAATGTACTTCATTTTCAACTGAGCAAACATTGAAGTTGCCATAGCACACAAAACATATGGCTCCCTGATTCTTAAACCAGGCAGTAGTTGGGATGGCACAAGAATATGTTGGCCAAGTGCTCCTCCAAGCACATGGCCAAGTAACCTAGCCATGGCAAGGACAGCAGCTCACAAAGCCCTTATCTGCTCCTGCTATATCTGCTGTACCCAAAGAATCATGGACGCACTTGCTTGGGCCTCTCCAGTGATCCTGGCACAATGTGGCACACAGCACCACACACTCTCTAAGCAAACCTAAAGTCAATCCCCAGCACCTAACTGCAGATAACATTTCCTTGTGCTAATTTCCACTTGTAAAAACACCCTGCTATTCCCACTCCCAGTACTCCTGCTCATCAACTGGAATGTTTTTGCTCCTTTTTCCTTTCCATGTCAGTCTCTGGTGCCAGTTCCATCACAAAACCTTTCCCTGGAACACAACAGTGGCTCAGCAGAGTCACACAGCTGTGGGGCTTTAGTGACAGCTCTTCCCATTGGCCAGAAGGACAAACAAGGAGTGCAACCAGGCTGCATAGAGGAGAGTGAAAATCTTGCTCCCCTCCTCATTTTGGGACGTGCATCTCTTTTTATTGCTTATTTTATGATTCTTTTTCCCCCACTCCTGTAGTATAAAGTGACGATTGCACAAAACTGGGACAAAGTGCTGCAATACTTAATGGAGCTCACACGTCGGTAGCTGTGTGAAATCAGCAAGCAGGCCTCAAAGGGAACCTGTAGGAGTAAAGCCCTTGGACTGCCATTCCATACAAATGCAAACTCCCTGTTTGTGTACTAATCTCAGCAGTTCCATCATCAGTTCATGCAGTGGGAGCAGCGCTGCTCTGGTTGTGCTGAGCGCTACCTCTGACCGAGTGCATGTGCTACATTTTAAAGCAATTCCTGTTCAGTTTGGGGTGTGAGCAGATTTCTACCTGCAAGCAAGCACCTTTTTGAAACCGTGTGTCACCCATTTAGCAATCGCGACACAAGTAAGGGCACAGCAACCTCAGCCTAAGAATAACATTTCAACACAGTTTAGATCTACTTCAAGGTGCCGTCATCCCCGGGAGCGTGAAGCAGAGGATGACAACAGGTAGCAGCAGAGCAGCAGCTCGGCCAGACAACGCGGGCAGCTCCCGGGGCGACACTCACCGCTGTTCAGCTGCTGCCCGAAGGCGGCGGGCGGGCGGCGCGGGGCGGCGGGCGGCGGGCGGCAGTCCCAGCGCTCGTGTCGGAACTGGCTGCGGCACTCCTGGAGGCCGAGACGCGCTCCCTCCCGGATGGCGGGCACCAGCTCCGGCTTCTGCCTGCACAGCTCCTGCTGCCCGGGGCTCAGCGGAGGGCTGGCGCAGCCTGGCTTCTCCGGCCCGCCGGCGGCCGCGATGCCCAGCCACCTGCGGAACAGCCCCGTTAGCGCCGGGACCGGCGGACCCGCGCCGCGCTGCCCCAATCCCCGCATCCCCTCGCCCGGCTACTCACATCCATGTGCCGCCCGCGGCGCCGGGGCAGAGGGCGAGCAGCATCGCCGCCCGCAGGAGGCTCCGACCGAGGGCGGCCCCGCGCCCCATGGCCGCGCATCGAGCCCCTACTCGGCTCCGTCCTCCGCGGGAACAGCCCGGGCCGGCGAGGAGGGCGGCGGGCGGGGAAGCATCGGGAGAGCTTTATTCCCTTCAAGGTGAGAAAGTTGGGCTTGATGCTTTCCCCCGGGCCGCTCCCGGCTCTGCCTCCCCCGGCCGCGCATTGGCCGCCCCGGGGAGCGGGGCGGGCCGGGGCGGGGAGCGGGGAACTGCGCGCCGATCCGCACCGCACCGCTCCGCACCGCCGCCCGCCCCTCGGCGCTGTCCTTCTCTTCCTCCGGGACTGAAGCTCCTGGGGGGATGCTGGGGAAGTGCAGGCGCCACGGGGTGTGCTGCAGGCATTGGGCCGCAGCGACTTCGTGCACAGAAAAGAGGCGTAAGGAGGGCTGGTCGGAAATGAGAATTTTTCCCACACGTTTTATTTAAATTTCCCTGTGCTTTCGTAGTGCTAGATAACTGGCCGTGGAGCCAGCATCACTGCTCATTTGCCCAGTCCTGTTAACTTCATTCTAAGCCTTATCAACTATTAATTTAGTATTTGTTAATCACTTGTGCAAAGTCTTGGACAGAAAGGCACCCTCAGCCCATACTGGCAGCCCGATGCATGATGCAGAGCATCACCAGCACCCGGGGCTTCCAGGTCTGATTTACTCCAGTGTATGCACACTGCACACAGCCCAGGTAACAGGGCAGCTCCAGGCAGGCTCTGGTATGACACAGCTGTAAAAGTGACATAGCTCCTGCTGACTGACAATAGCACTAAGCAAAGAGCAAAATCAATCATCTCGACAGATAGTTTTTAAGAGCACAGCATGTAGAGAAATAATTGCACGAATGTGGTGTTCACCCTGCCTGTTTACCAGTGGATATACTGAGATATTTCAAGAGCATTGGCTAGGGTACAATCAGAGCCATAAAACTGTCTCCTTCCTACTTCATTTGCCTACTCTTAAAGGGTCTCCATGGCACCACCGGTGCTGGGCAGATTCCACATGACCCAACAAGTCATTCAAAGCTTCCAGTGCAGCTCATTTCTCTGCTCTGAATTCCAGCCTGGTGAACATCTGCTTGCGGTTGCAGAGGAACGTTGTCCAGAGTGAGGGAAGGGACAGAGGACCACGCTGGGACACAGGGAAAGGCCAGAGCCAGCCAAACTGCATGGGCTGTGTCAGGGAACTGCTGTTACCCTCACTGCTGCTTCCTGGCTCCACCTATTGAAGTAATTCAAAGCCCTGACCTGGCAATGCTGTGTTTCTCATTCCCTTCTTAATCTACTTGTTGCATTAATCAGCTATTCTGTCTACTTTTTTCCTGCCTGTTGTTGTTTTAACTGGGTTCTTCTCTTGCGTTCTCTCTCTCTCTCTCTCTTTAATTAGTCTGGAGCCTTTGATTTTAAATTCCTATGTTTGAGATTTTGTCTAGAAGCTGCAGAATCTTATGTTCTAGTAATAATTTACATAAAATTTTAATTAAAAAAGCATTGATTTGAAAAATTCCAAACCTATTTGTAAGACCTTATCCAGGATAACAAAAATTCTCTTCTGGGATCCCCTGAGCTGGGATCTGATTTTGCCTACATTCTATGCTATTGGAGCCATTACGTAGTTAAGAAAATGTTTTGGTCATATACACTGGTGTAGAGTGAAACTGCAATTTGAAGGGCTGATGCTAAAGAGTACATATTGTGAGAGACCTCTGGATATCTTTTAGTTCATTCTGTGTAGGATTGGAAGCAGGACAAGTTTTTCCATGAACATTTGATTTTAAGAAGTTTGGATTACTGTGCTTGTTTGTCCCAGCCCTCCATCTGCCTCTCTTCCTGTTTCCAACCACTGCCCCTCTGCCTACAGCCCTGCACCTCCTTTCTGGCTACCTCCTTTCTGGTCACCCACCAGAACCCCGTCCTCTTCCCTGCTCCTTTCCTCATTTTCCTTTCTGCCATTTGCATCATCTCTCTGCTGCGTTCCCTGGGCATAAGCAGCACAGCCAGGAGTGGCTGGTGCTCCAGAGCACCTTGTGCAGGAAGAGCATTCCCTCCATCACAGACAGTGACGAGAATGTAGAGAGACTATGGACAGGGGTCTGACAGAGAGGTCAGGTACTGAGCATGAGTCATCAAAAATTGATATCAATGAAGGAAGATAAATCTGGTTGCTTATTTAAAATTCATTGTCCAAGGTGGAGCTTTCTTTGCCTATTCATACTAAAATGCCCACAGTTTTCTATTTTAAAAAGAAGACATTAAACTGTTGTTCAAGAAAAATCAAGAAGAAAAAAGAAGGAAAAGTGTCCCAGTGGAGTGGTGTTTCCTGACTTGGCATTTATAAATGTGCTATTTAATTATGATTAATATCATCTTGACAGAGTTGGTTGCAGATATGTAATTTTTTTAAATTTCATTTTATTCTTCATTAGTTAAAGAAAAGTACTCCACTGTATGGAATCTGTATACATAAGTGGATCACTCAGTAGATAATATACCTGGAAGATGGACTAAATATCTCTTAATGCAGTTAATGGATACTGTTGTCAATATAACCAAGGCCTGCTGTCCCATTCACTAGGCACAAGAACCTCTAAAGTTAAACACTCTCAAGTTTCCCTATACAAGTTACCACTTCTGGAAGTTGTTTGGAAATTATTTAGTTCAAGTAACTCTCCTTATTCCGGCACTTGTGATGCCCAAGCAGAGGCACCTGAATATCAGCACCACTTGGCATTCTGCATTATCCTTCCCACACACATGGCCCTACTGCCCAGTGGGGACAGCATCCCCTTATCTTTATGAACTGAGCACAAATCCCACCTTCCAAACAGGAGTATCTCCCACATTCTCTAGATTAGGTCATTCCTTCGGGTATGAAATTAATTGTGTGTGGTGGTACAAATTACAGTCTTCTAACTGATCAAGTGTGCTTTCAGTCCACCTCTAGTCCACCATGATGGCATCTGCCAGCACCAGGAGCCTGGAAGGTGCTGAGATCAGGCACTGAAGGAGCTGGAACCATTCCAGCACGAGGTGTTGTACTCAGAGTCCAAGTCTGTTGGCAGCAACAGGCTCATCTGAGGAAAACTCTCAGACTGTTTCCAAGTATGGTGTACCAGTAGAACCAGGGTGAACTGCTCAGCTTTGAGCGTCCTCAGTTGGAAGGGACCAAAAGGACTGTTGAGTTGGTGGTTTTAAATAGCTGTGAACTCACCTGCCAGTGAATCATTCATTGCAGGACTGTACCCTGATGGCACAGTGTGCTCAGATCCCAACACACAGATCTGCACACTGGGCACCTGTAAAACCTGATAGGCCTGGCCCATCCCAGCCTCCCCTTGCCCTTGTCCCTGCCTCCATCCTCTTCCTCCTTGGCTGTAGGAGGAAGCAGAGGTGTGCGGGGAGACCTGACACCTCAGGACAGGGCTCCCAACACTCCCAGTGCAATATCTGTGAGGTGATGTCTCAACAAACAAGTTTTAGGCCTTCAGTAATGCCAGACTGGCAGCAGAAGGGCAGAGAGAGATATCTTTCTCCCATTCAGAGCCCCCCAAGATCTTCTCTGTCCAGAGGTTTAAAATTATTCTCACTTTCACTCTTTCTTTCTTTCTTTCTTTTTTAGCATATGTAGCATGAAAGTATTTGCATCTGTGGCTGTTGTAGATCCGACACACTGAGTTTGCAGGTGCCTGAAACAGCAATTGAAGTGCCTTCTGGTTCATGGTGGCAGACAGAGACCTCACAAATACATATAAAGATTTCAAAGCCATCCCTTAATATTGTCTTTATAATCATTGCACAGCACCATATACAGACTCACATTTTCTACGTGCATTGTAAAAAAGGGAAAAACAGGACTGGAAAGGCAAGGAGAAAGCAGACCTCTCACCATCCTTTCTATTCTCTATTAATGTTCACGAGATCTCCAAGGAAGTCTGCTGGAGCCAATAACTTCAATGCCCGTTGCCGAAGCAGTTGCAGAGCAGCTCTTCTGGCAATCTACTGCTGCTGCTGGTGATGCACTGCCAGAGGGCTGGGCCTGGGGCAGGGGAGGCTCAGGCTGGCTTTGGAGTCCAGATGGTTCTTTTCAGCATGCACGTGAGAAGTTGAGATCTGCTTGCATTCTGGGAGCAGATCCGTATTCTTATAGAATCCTTTGAGTTGGAAGGGACCCTTAAGGGTCATCTACTCCAATGTCCCTGCAATGAACAGGGACACCTACAGCTTGATCAGGGAGCTCAGAGCCTGGTCTAGCCTGAAGTGCTGCTGGCAAATTCTGTTCTCTGACATAGGCAGTCTAAATGTTGGCAGTGTCTAGAGTTACTCCACAGAGATATTTTTTGGCATGCCTGTATCAAGCAAAACGTGTCAAGGGAATGCTGATAAAGCTTCAAAGCATTACTAAGAGGGGTGTGAAAGATGCAAAAAAAAAAAAAAAAGAAAACGACCACAGGTTTTAATACTGACTCCACCCACATCCCACTTACTACTGAAAACCAAAATTAGTCATAACATCATAGTTAATAGCAGTGCACCTTTATTCCACTTATCAGTTTATCTTGTCTCGAGAATGGGAAATACTCTGGGAGGTGTGAGAATTGAGAAAATTTGCCTCAAGTTTTTCATGATACTTCATTATTATTATTATTATTTTTAACATAAAGTGTGTGAGATTGGAGGATTGCTCCTGGTTAGTGTTGCAGAACTTCTCAGAGTTTATGGTGCTCCATAACACAGCTCCACTCTATGAAAGAACCTGAGTGATATTAGAAGGGAGAGGTGTTCTTTACGCAGTTTTAAATCAGTGTCAGACTCTTCCTAGGGTGTAGCACAACTACTCTGTTACTGTATGTGAAAGTCTGCTGTGGGTTTCTGAGTGAACAGATAAGATGTCCTGTATGTGTGCACGCTTGTGTGAGTGATACTGTATGTTAGGTACAGAGCAGGTAAAGGTACTGCTCCTTGGAAGCAATGCTGTCCAGAGTATTTGTATTCCTACCCCAGCTGCTATTCTGCATTGACACTTTCCACAAAACATTTTCATGGTGTTAGTTTTTTTGCCACGTGAGTGGCATACACAGAACTACTGCCATTCTGCAATGAAAGAACTGAGATTCAGAGAGATATTCAACTTGTAGGTGTCAAACTGTACATCATCATCAAAACCACAGTTGGGACCTCAGCTCTTCATTGCTAGTTCTGTGTCTAATGAGT